TGGGGAATTTAATTCTCCATCGAACAGCATTGGTTTCATTCCTTAATATTAATTAGGAGAAAAGAGACGATTTTTTAATTAGCGGGCGAATTAATGGGGAAGCACTCTGCAACGAGAAACCATTGAGTTTTTCATAGCACCGCGACTTTCATCGCATTTTTATTTTTTTATTACAGAGATTAAGGAATGAAACGGGGGTTGAAGGATGGGGAATTTAATTCTCCATCGAACAGCATTGGTTTCATTCCTTAATGTTAATTAGGAGGGGAGAGACGATTTTTTAATTAGCGGGCGAATTATTGGGGAGTCACTCTGCGCCGAGAAAACATTGGGTTTCTTATAGCGCCGTGACTTTCGTCGCAATATTAATTTTTTTATTGCAGAGATTAAGGGATGAAACGGGGGTTGATGGATGGGGAATTTAATTCTCCATTGAACAGTCTTTGTCTCATCCCTTAATATTAATTAGTCGGCGACTAAATCAAATGAAAAACATAAAGTAAACATTGAGTACAAGGAGGACAAAAGTAACCCTCCGAACCTATCGCTGTCACAGCGGGACTGTTACTGCCGAGTTACTCACGCACCCGACTCACATTTACCGACAATTCGACCGGGACGCCGCCTTTCCCGTGGGGTACCAACTAACATTTTTGGAGTCAGTTAAACCCCCCGATCCGGGCCTCTACTCAGGTCTATCCTCTTTGCTAGTGCTCCTCATCACTGAAATCGAGGTTACTTCTTTGGTAAAATTTAGTATACCTCTCATCATCTATATTATATCTTTAAAAAGCCAAGCAGCCAGCATATAGCCCACTTAGCGGGTTATAGCTCGGAGCAGAAATTTGCCCGCCAAAATGCATCCCAAATAGCCCAATTGTGGCGGGAAATAGCCCAATCTGGCAACCACTTATTCCGCCACCGTAGCCCAAAAAGATGGAAGGGGGGAAGACTCAGTCACGTGACTCCTGAACAACAAATGCGTTTTTTTTTCATTGATTATCGATGTAATAACACTTTTCCAAATAGAAAAAACTATTTCCCTGCAATTCCTAAATTGGTCTGCATCTATTAGAATTAAAATTTTGTTATTCCCATTCATTTTTGCCATCTATAAGGTCTTAACATTTTTTAATGATTACTAATTAACTATTGTTCCTAAATTATAAAAATACTTTCCTAAAATTTCCCAACTGATTTCCTAATTGTTCCATACATTGATTTTAGGCAATATTTAATTTCTTCGCCAAGTATACGGCGGTCTAATTAGCCATAACTTAACCCCCCTCCCAGAACTTTTAGACAGACAAGGGTAAGATCCTCTCTCTCTGCTTAACTCCCCAGATCTGTGTTACATAGCGGTTACGAGGAATGCGCGGTCTAGTATTATATGTCTATGCCGACAATCGGACTTGTGTGCCATCTCTCCCGTGAGGTATTTACTAACTTTAGGTGGAGTCACTCAAACTTCCGGATCGGGGCCTCCATACCAGAGCAGTCCATACGGCTTTATCCTTTTCGACTGTATACTTTCTTTGTCTCCCCACTCATTATTTCTTTATTGACAAAAGTTGGAAAAATATATAACATTTGACGTATGTCCGTATCTCGAGGCTTGACGATGTTCCTGTATCTTCCGATATAGCCTTTTAAACTTGTTTAATTCCTACTCTTTTTTGATCCGCTTATCCTCAACGATTTCTCATATAAATAGTGATCAAGGTTCTTCTATTCCAAAAAATAGATGATTGCATATCACGTAAGCATTTTTCACACTGTGATCCCCATTATTGCATCAAATTTTCTGATTCACTTATTCTCCTCTAATCATTTCAGATATGGTACATTGTTCTGTGTTCTTTCTTAGAAATTAATGAATAAATAATTGAAAGAACTATGGGAATCGCTGAAAAGTGCAACAAAGTACTAAGAGCAATATAAATTCTAACAACTAATAAAATTTTAGTGAAGAATAAAAAAATTAACATGGTTTTACCATCGGAAGATGTTCCATGGGGAATCAAATTAATCTATTGGATCAACAAAAAATGCTGCCGATATCGAAGAGTGAATAAATTGGCATGGCATCGTGGAGGCGTCCTGGCACTCACGTACATGTCATATACGTGCTACCATATGTCAAGAAAACCGATTTCGGTAGTCAAAAATGTGTTAAATCTGAATTGCAGTACATTGTCACCTCCATCTGATATTATAATCGATGACAACAATAAGGATACTTGGTGTGATTGGGCACCATTTGGTAAGGCATATATTGTCATTATCAAGAATATTTAGTAGTTTAGGCTATTTTTTTCTGGGTGAAATCCTCTTCAGAGTTTATAGAATAGGCTAAGAGTATTTTTTAGGCGCAATATCAATCTCAGTTTCCTTACATTACCTTTTTTTTGGAAAGGATTTTTGAAAAAATGGACTTTAACACATTGTGTCCATAAGAGCTGTATATATTACCAACTTTATAACAATAGTTGATAGTCTTAAAGCGTTTTCTTGTACACATGACCGTATATGACTGTATTCGATACACTATTTAGTTTTTTTACGACATTAAAAAACATGAGTTTCCCTGCCGATAATCGCAAACTATCAAATTAAAGAGGTATCGAGCGATTTTCTTTCCATTTTTCAATTTTCACCAAATAATCCCATTTGTTTATTTTTTTCACTTATCTTCTATAATTTCGATCTCTTGAGTTGTTTCCTCATATTCAAAATTCTCGGCACGATAAGCTTCCTCAAACTTGATATCTTATTATTGAACAACTATGCTATCAATTGAACTTGGAAACATCAACTTCTGAATTATTTGCAGGTCAAGGCAAAAAATGTCCTCATTTGACTAGCGTAAATGGCACCTGAAAAGCACATGCATCTTAGAATTGAATTAATGTTCAAAGAGGATGTCAATGATACATCAAATTTATAACTAGTGTTATTTACTTATTTATTTATTTATTTTTAGATACCCCTGACGCAACTGCTTTGCTTGGAACTCTGGACTCAGCGTTTTTATTCGCCTATGCTGCAGCCATGTTCCTCAGGTGACGATTTCATGTAAGCTTCACTCTCAGAAAAAATATGAAAGACAGAGTTGAACTAATTAAATTTGTATTCAAAATTTTTCCAGTGGATTCGTAGCTGAAAGAGTGAATCTCAGGTACTTTTTATCTCTGGGCATGCTATTATCGGGGATAAGCAGCTATTTATTGGGAATTTCTAAGCCATACGACATCCACAATCTCGGGTATTTCATTCTGATCCAGGTAATCGAAGAATATAAACACTCATTATTGATGGAATTTGTTTTCGATTCTACCATAAATAATTATTTTTCATATGTCGCTCTTAGGCAATGGGTGGAGTTTTCCAAACGACAGGATGGCCTGGAGTGGTAACAGTTATTGGTAATTGGTTCGAAAAAGGAAAGAGAGGTCTAATATTCGGCGTTTGGAACTCCCATACATCGTTGGGAAATATTCTAGGGAGTTTGATAGCAGCTGCATATGTGGAAACAAATTGGGGACTAAGTTTTATCATTCCTGGTATTGTAATGGGTATAGCTGGTTTTATAATATTTTTATTCTTGACACCACATCCCCAAGATGTGGATTGCCTCATACCAAGTCAGCCTAGGTACAAAAAATTGAACGCAACTAGTTCAGACGAAGGTACATCTAGTGAAGATAATGATATCCAACGCGTAGAAGACGTGAGTATAATGAAAGCAATATCCGTGAAAATGTGATAGAATCGAATTTTTTATATCTCCAAATAATGCGACGCTGATTGATAGAATTCAAAGAAAATTGGTAGGGTTTGAAATATAATGAAATTCCATGCCCGATTCCATGGAACCCAAATTTCAATTTTTAATTTGATCGTAAGTTTTTCATCACGCAATATGTAAACTGACATACCACTTTTCATGCCGGAAAACTCATTTCACACGCAATGTGATGAAAAATGTGATCTGATGCTCGCAAGAAAAGTGTTCCATAACTCATGGGAGGTTCGCACAAACCTCCCACAAGCGACCAAGTACTTTCTCTTATGCGTATTAAAATATATTAATCTAGTTATAATAAGCTATTTCCACCATATTTCAGCATTTGATTAACCACGGATTTGGAATTATGGATGATTGAGAAAACTCCATTTTATTCTTATCCGTAGAAACAAGCAAAATAAGCTTTGCATATTCCATTCTTATTTCATTAATTATGCTAAAAATGTTCAATTTCCCAATTGTTTTTTTATAAAATTCCTGCCTATTCACAAGATTAATCATAGATTTGTTACTTTATTTTGTAGTTTAATTTTCCAATAATATAGCTAGTTTGTTGTATTTTCATTAACTTTAGCAGATCACGCATCGCTGTAGCTGGCATCAGCATGTTAACCATCTTGTAAGTGCATGTAATTACCATAATTCAATAAAATGGTCCGTCTCAAGTACTTCAGATATCAATATTAATAAATACAGTACATGGAGAACAAACTCAACGAGAAAGATATGAAAAGAGGCATAGGATAAAAATTCGATTCAACAAAAAATGAGGTTATTTGCATGAAAACGTGCCACTTCGTATCGATGTATACCCAAATACTTTTGACAACATTCCACGCATTTTGAGCGAAAAATAGTTCCAATTGCTTAATAAATCCTCACTAGAAAAAGGTGAATACCTTGGAAACTAGAACCAACAAAGTGGATCGTTTTCTTGCGGATGGCCACAAATGTTGGAATAAATCAATTACAAAAATAGCCAGAATTAATTCCACGAGTGCTTCAAAATTGTCGGTTATTTCTCGATAAATTCGTTGGGCAGTATTGACCATGGCCAGAAAAAAGTTGGGTCAGAGCCTAAATGTCCACATTTTCTCTACAAGAGAGCAGAGCACCGCTTTAAAGTTATAGTTTGAAGTCCACACGCAGCAATGTGCGCGGCAATTTTGTCCACCTCCAATTGTGCACGTCAAAGATTGGCACATCCCTGAAAGTACACATGCTTGATTGCCACACCCTTTAAATACACAAAAAAATTTACACAATTGAATTGTGCACTTGCATTAAGGCCACACAAAAGATTTGCACACATACTATTGTCAACCTTTTGAAATTGTACATGCATTCAATCCCACAGAGTCTTTCAACACATGGAAATCGACATGCTCATCAAGTGCACAATGATATTCTCCACATTATAGAATAAGCAATCATATCTACATATTGCGCATGTCAAATCCCACAATGTGCAGATTGAACAACACACCGATATTTGATTTTTTTAATAAAAAACTGCACATCTAAAACATAAGGAATTCATTTTTTCAATGAAATTCCACACGTTTTTGGTGTATTGTTGAAACTACACATTGAGGAATTTGAAACACGCCATGTGTAGATATGATTACTTATTCTATAATGTGTAGAATATGGTGTACACCTGGCGAGCGTATCAATTTCCATGTGTTAAAACGTCCTGTGGAAATAGATGCATGTGCAATTTTGGAAAGGTGACAATGATATGTGTGCAATACCGTTGTGCGAACTTAATGCAAGTACAGAATTAAATTGCATATTTCTTTTGTGTATTTAAGGAGTGTGGCAATCAAGCATATGCACTTCCAGTGATGTGCCAATCTTTCATGTGGACAACTGGAGGTGGATAAAGTTGCCGCGCACATTGCTGTGTGTGGACTTCAAAGCGGTGAGCTGCCCTCTTGGGGAGAAAATGCGTGTGCTTATGTAGATGTGAACATTTAGGCTGTGACCCAACTTTTTTTCTGGTCATGGTCAATACTGCCACTTTGTTACATAGAAAAAAATATGTCAAATCTCACAAAGGATTTCTCTGTGTTCAATATTTATTATTTCTATGGCAGAAAGTTCGAGGACATTTAGCGGTTAATTTTGGAGCACAAGTGCTATTTGTCAAGTTTTTTTTTGAGAGACAAATCTAGGCAATTTCCGAAATACAAGTGTTTGGTAGCCTTAATTACTTCGCTCTGATTAGCTGACATCTGACTGAGGAAAATAACCCAAAAAATTACTGAAACTAAAATGATTGTCAATTTCCATTATTTTTAGTCACTTTATCTTATGCCTGACACAGTCTATGACAGGAACGATGATTGTCCACATCTCTACTGATCGATGTACCGTAAAAGAACCGCTATAAACACTAGAATCCTGCCATATTTTTTCATCGAAAATTCACAATTTCAATTTTTGTTAGAACAAATTTACTGCGCAAAAGAGGGAACTTCATTCGTTCCCGCACATTTTTTCATTGATTTCAAATAAAACTTATTGAAAAACAAATTTGGTCCGCGATTACCTAAATTGTATAGTAATTTTTTGTGTAATTTTTCGTCTCTGTGTATGATGTCACATCTGTCAATTTTATTTCTGAACTTTTTTTTAAATTTTCTATAAAGGACACTCCTAATTTACAATCGGAAACGAGTCCTATGCTGCCAGGGAACCGACGTGGTCACAGTTTTGGGAATGAGCGAGCAATTGGATTTGTCGGAGCAATGAAAATTCCTGGGGTAGTGGAATACTCGTGTTCATTATTCTTTTCAAAACTCGTGAGCTACACATTTTTATACTGGCTGCCACTCTACATTAGTGCTTCAAGTTAGTAAAATCGATTATTTTTGAATTTAAAAAAACTATTGCCTCTATAGTTTAACCGCAAAAACAGAAAACCATTGGACCTTTGGATTCGACTTGTTTACAGTTACTTGATACATCGAAGACATACATTTCATGACATATAGTCCATGTTTTACTGACATTAAGCATTGTTTTCTTTTTTAGCAACTTATAGTCCAACTTTGAGTGCTGATTTATCAACTTTATTTGATGTGGGAGGTATTGCTGGGGCTATAGCAGCTGGAATTCTATCTGACTACACAGGAATGAGTGCAGTTACTTGTTCTGGTATGCTCGTTCTCGCTGTACCCATGGTACGTATCAAACAAAACGGGTCAAGCAAAACGATTTAGAAAAGTTTTTTCCTACATCCACAAAAAAAATCAGTTATTTATTATTATTATTATTGTTATTACTTCAGCTTTTTATTTACGACTGCAGCGGAAATATCAATTTGGGAACAAACGTAGTATTACTGATGGTTACTGGAGTCCTTGTAAACGGTCCATATGCCTTAATAACAACAGCTGTATCTGCTGAACTAGGGACGCATCCAAGTTTGGGTAACGATTCAAAGGCCCTCGCAACGGTGACTGCTATTATTGATGGGACTGGTAGTATTGGTGCTGCCGTCGGTCCACTGTTGGCTGGGTTAGTCTCACGATGGATGGGCTGGCATAATGTATTTTATATGTTAATGGCCGCCGATGTATTAGCCCTATTATTCTTGACCAGACTTACATACAGAGATCTATGTGTATTTAGGCAAAGACGGCTGGCCGTGTAGAAAATATGGAAAATCAGATTCGTAATTTAATTCGTTAATTTCCTTCTATACTCTTTTATGCCTTACCCTTAAGATATAAAGTGATAACACAATTGAGGAGCAATAAATGAATGTATTATGTAATAAATATTTTTCTACAGAAAAATTATATTGATGAAGTTATTATGGAATACCCTCTGGTATGATATAACTGATGCTGTCTCCAAAATCTCCCCAAGCTGCTCGTTGTGTCTGGAATGTTATTATCCATGCTAATAGTATAGCGGTCCAGAATAACGCCCCAATACCTGATAGCACTACGTCTGAAAAAATAAAAGAGGGAAAATATAAAAAGTAATTGGGGATATTATTATTATTGTTTAAAATTTTTTCTATTTCTTTGGTTTTATCGAAGTAATTCTCGATTTAAAACCCCTCCTCTAGCCTGCCGCCCCTCCTTTCTTTTTCCTCTCATTGTTATCTGCGGTATCTCATGGCCGTCTTACTCTTAGCTGTGCCCCATTTGAGCTAGGACTGCACGGAAAACTATGTAAAACCCCAGTCGCACAGCCGGCCGATTGTGCAGTGCCCTAATATATCCATCTGTCACACTGACTAGATGGAGGCACTAGGCCACTACACCGTACCCACCGCCCGCAATTTTTGTGCGAGCGAGGTGTTCCTAAGCGGTCACCCATCCAAGTACTAACCCAGCTCAACGGTGCTTAGCTTGGATGTCCGCCGGAGCAACACCTCACCCACCTAACCATTACAGTCGGTTGGGGATATTATTAAATTCTCGTAGTTCTTACTTTGAAGACAATAATCCAATATTCGGGACAATTTTTTGTTATTCATATTTCTTTCCTACTACCATTACGGTTTTATAGGCTCCCCATTCGTCTGCCTTGCCTCTCCCACTTCTCTCTTCTGATTTTTTCTGCGTTACCATTGGCCGTCTTATTTTTAACTGTACCCCATTCGGACTGGGACTGCACGGGAAACCATGGACAACCCCAGTCGTATAACCGGTCGATTGTGCAGAGCCCTAAATGTGACCTTCTATCATACTGACTGGGGGGGGGGGCAAATTAGGCCACTACACCGTGCCTACTTTCCGAAATTTTTGTGCAAAGGTGTTCTTAAGCGGTCACCCATCCAAGTACTAAACGAAGCTGCACTCGGATGTCCGCTGGAGCAACACCTAACTCACCCAACTGTTACGGTCGGTGCGAGAATTTATTTATAATGTCTAATGACATCGGAGCTGCTTGTCATTTATTTTTTAGATAAATACCCCCCTTGACGAGCCATATGTACCGATAATAGAGAGCAAGGACAGTGAAATCCTCTGATTTATACATCATATATGTCCTCCACGATTCTTCACTCTGAGTATTGTCCTTCATTGACATTACTATTTTTCTTTTAATTGTGTTCATCACTAATATAATCAACGATGACCGTAGAAAATCTGTGATAGATTTGGGAGGTTGGAGAAGGATAATGTCTGATAATCAATGTGTGGTATGACAAAGAGTCAGTGGAGAAGAAGAAAAGATAAAACGGATATAGATGTACGACATTTTTATCCACACGCAAGGATAAAATTTACACTAATCCTCTGGAACATTTTCATATGTATCATGTTTCATTTGTTCATTATTCTGATCAATTGATCTTCGGCGTCTGTGTTGCCCAAATTATGTGGAATTGATTCAATTGTTTTCAAACATCAGCATTTCGAACACATTGTGTAAGACATGAGACATGAATGTGTAGTGTGTGGATTTAAATTTACTGTGTGTACATTTCGTCAATATTGCCATCGCTGGCTCATTAAAAAAAAATCTAGAATGGAAAATTAAGAGATTACCAAATCGGTATTCCCCTGGCATTTAAATTATGACATTTAAATTATTCTTGAGAGCTAAATGATGTTGAGGGTCAACTAATCTTGACGGTTTTATGATCTTGACTGATCCAAACGATCAGTTGGGTTCAAGGATTGGTCAACTGATTTGCACGGTCAGATGAACTAAAGAGATAAGTGATCAAAAGGGCCGAATCATTAAATGCGTCAAATCGTCTTAACGGTCCAATAACTTTAAAAGTTTTTTTGCTATTATCCCTATTTGACCCTTATGAAGCTCGTGACCCTTGTGAGTATTTGGCCTATTGGGTTAGTGCACTCGGTTTCCCTGCGAGACAGTGATTCTAAAGAGGGTTTGATCCTTGGGATCGGTTGAATTATTTTTCCTGTTTGACCCTTATCAAGTCTCGGCGTCTGAAGTTTACCCAATTATTGGTCGAAACTTGGGGTTCGATGAATGACCATTTGAAGTTCAGCCGACATTTGGCCGTAGAGGGGTGGCCGAGCTTTGAAATGTCGATCCAAAGCCCCTATTCGACAGTGAGTGGCTCGCCAAGACTTGGCATGCCAATTCCGATTTCTCCGTCTTCCGTATCCGTCAGTTTTTGTGCTACCATTTCTTCAGAACAAACGATGCGATCTGTTCCGTTTTTTACAATCTATGTATTTTCTTGGTCATTGACAAAAAATATCAGAAACAAAAACGTGGGTTTCTTAAAATTCCATGATTTTTTCTAGAAAAATGATGGAATTGAAAGATTGTTGTTACAATCAACAGATTCCGATGTAACTCGAGTCTGATTGAATTTTAATCGAAATCGTCTCAGCCATTCGAATGGATAAAGAGCACATTCACAACAAGAAACTGAGTGATGATCACTTCCGGTCACTCCAAAATATCTATAGTCAGCAAAATGAGGTCATATAAGATAAAGAAAGTGACCCACAGTAAGTCTAGGTTTGGAAACGCTCATCGCACTGTAGGAACTTCCAAGACTTACTCTAGGTTTCTGGATAAAAATTCAACTGTAAAGACTTAAGAGGCATTTGAAATTATCTCACCCGCTGACACTCAAGGCTACTGGAACTTCATGATAATTAGGCGCATTTGATAATTCGGTCCTTTGATCACTTATCTTTTTAGTCTACCTGACCATACGAATCAGTTTACTTATCCTTGAATCCATCTGATTGTTCGGATCAGTCAAGATCATAAAACCCTCAAGATTAGTTGACCCTTAATATCATTTGGCTCTCAAGAATAATTTAAATGTCAGAGGAATATCGATTTGGTAATCTCTTAATTTTACCATTCTAGATTTTTTTTTTATGATGCGCCAGCCACGGCAATATTGACGAAATGTGCACACAGGAAATTTAAATCGACACACTACACATTCGTGTCTTTTATCTTACACAATGTGTTCGAAATGCTGAAGTTTGAGAACAATTGAATCAATTTCACATGATTTGTGCAACACAGAGGCCGGAGATGTATTGATCAGAATAATAAACGAATGAAACACATAATACATACGAAAATGTGGCAGGGGACTAGTGTAAGTTTTATCCTTGCGTGGGGATAAAAATACCGGATATGTATTCAATGTACAGTCATAGAATAGAATGTGGACACCCGCATTTGCAATTAAAATTAAAAATTCGAATATTGATAAGTAGTGTAATAATGCCGATTCGGGCACAACGTTTTTGGCGTCGACCTGGTCGTTGGGGCCCAGTAGGGGGGTCAGATGAAAGTGGGTGGGTGGGTGGTTGATTAATTCGCGGGGTTGCGGTTTAATTCGCGGTTTGATTCGCGGGGTCGCGGTTTATTTCGAGGTTTGATTAAATAATTCGCGATTTCCCCCTCGAAGTCACGAAAGGGTTAATTAATGCGCGCGGTCGCGGTTTAATTCGCGGTTTGATTCGCGGTTTCATTAAATAATTCGCGATTTTTCCCTCGAAGTGATGGAAGGGTTAATTAATACGCGCGATCGCGGTTTATTTCGCGGTATGATTCGCGGTTTGATTAAATAATTCGCGATTTTCCCCTCGAAGTGATAGAAGGGTTAATTAATTCGCGCGGTCGCGGTTTAATTCGCGGTTTGATTGGCGATTTGATTCGCGGTTTAAGTCGCAGTTTGATTAATTAATTCCCGATATTTTCCCTCGAAGTGATGTAAGGGTTATTTAATTCGCTGGTTAATCAATTTCAGTCGCGGTTTTGCGTTACAAAGGACCTTCTCGGTGACCTAGTCAATCCACCCCGCGAGGGGGTGAGTGAAGGGGTTAATTATTTCGCGGCTGTAGAAATCATAGAAGGGGCTCCTCTTCTTCTTCAAACATTCAGACCTGGCTCCACTTGACATGTCTGAACTTGAGTTTTCCGGTACTTTCTCGTTTGCCCCCCCCCCTTTCCTATGAAATTGTTGTTGATAACGATATCAATATGTAAATATTTATTTAAAAAAACATTTTCCTGTCACATGTCTGAACTTGAGATTTCCCGTACTTTCTCATCTGCCGCTCCCCCTTCTTGTGAAATTGTTGTTGATAACAATATCAATATGTAAATATTTATTTTAAAAAGAAGAGTTCAGAAGGGGAGGGAGTATGTATATCTGCAAAGGCAGAGGATCAGTCATTCAAAAACTTAGGTACCCCCACCAATTTGGCATAGTCCTCGACAAATTTTACACGTTGTAGTAGGAGGAGTTTCCGAAAAATCTGCATCTGCTGCAAACTGATAAGAATGTAAATGCATTGGAAGATGTCCGAACGCAATCTTTTGTTTACATAGACTTTTTCGGTTTACCTGGGAACGCACGTTGTACTCACAACCCTAAGAACATGATGTTTGACAAACTGGAGCAGAGTTTTCGGACCCTTTGATATCCTATCGCGCCGCAAAGATTAAATGTTATCCTGGACATTTTTCAGCTATTTTTTTTCCCACGAACAAAAAATGTTGCTATTTTGTTAATAATTTTCCATGAGTCACATGATTCTTTTTCAACCAATCACGTAAGATTTTACAGAGTGTACAAGCGTAGGCACACCCACATATGTATCTATATAAACAAATTTCACCTTGATTTTCCGCTAGTTCTTTAGTGTCTTTATCATGAACAACATGGATCCTAACGCGTGTAAAAGATTATTGAGGTCATTGGAGGATGCGTATGAAATAGTGAAAACGAATAGGAGACCCAGGGAAATTCAACAATGGCTTAATCACATCAGAGGACATTCGAATGAAATTAATTCATTATTGAAGAGGAGTGCGAGTCATA